GACGGGGTTTCACCGTGTTGACCAGGATGGTCTCGATCTCTTGACCTCGTGATCCACCCGCCTCGGCCTCCCAAAGTGCTGGGATTACAGGCTTGAGCCACCGCGCCCGGCTCCTATTTACTCTTAATCTCTCCCGTAGTTCAGTACTGTTGTAGGCTTTCCTACCTTCTCCAGCATTTTATCTGTCTGCAGCACTGATAATGCCTTAACATCTATACCTTTATTTGTAGACATCACTTACCCCTCAGGAGGCAGTGGGATCAGTGTTGTCCCCACTTTTACAGCCCAAGAAATTGAGGCTCCTGATAACCCAGGATCACATATGCCAATACCGTAATGCTTAGAAAGGCATCAACACAGGGTAAGCATTCAATAAGCATTAACTAGCTTTACTTAAAACTCTTTCTACTTCAACAGACCCCATTTACGGCCAGGTTGGACCTCTTTCCACAAAAGAAATGGAATGCATTTGTGCAGAAGCTCCATACAAACATTTCTGGTGACAACGTCCTCATTTAAACTCTAGTTTATCACTAGTTACTACCAAATACAGTCCCTCAGGAGTTCTGAGTGACCCAAAACCTACTTTCTGGACTTTAAGATGAGTTTTAGTTTCTTTGAAATCAGGAAATGTCTTAAAATCAGATTCAATGAAATACGGTAACAATCTTTTTACTGTGTCCTGTGGTAGGTATTTTATATGCATTTTAGCACTTCACCTCCAACTCTCTTATTATTAAACATCTGTTATGTCCATTTTAGAGACAGAGAAGTCAGGGCACAGAGAGGTTAAGAGGTCACACAGTCAGTGAATGTTGGAGAGTATAAAAGTAACCCCAAAGCAAGCAGTACCCTAGATTCCAATTGCAGTTGACTTAGCCTGTTAACAGTTCAATTTTATGCAAAAACCACAACTTCAAATGGAAAAAGATAAATTAAAACAACCACAAAAACCAAACAGACAAATGGAGGCTCAGCAAGCCCTGATACTCGTCCACGGTTACACAGAGGATATCAGAGCCAAAATCCCATGGCCGATCTGTCTTGACTTCAAAGCGCCATCAATTTCCACCAAACCACGCTAACACCGACACGTGGTAAGGGGCAGTACAAAAATTTGTTGAATTAATAATGCCTGAAAACAAAGTTGACAATAAGAAAGAGAGTAAAAATGTAAAACACAGATAAAATCGGAAAAGCAGACCACTTGCAGGAAACAAAAAACTCCAAGTTTTCAAGGCAGGGCATTCACGGTGAGCCAAGGCGCGGGGACAGTTTGCGCGGATACCGCCGGACTCCGGGGTTGCCCGGCGCGGAGTCTAGTCGGCCTCGGAGCCCGGCAGCCTCCCAGCTTCCCTCCCGACCGCCAGGAACCCGGCCGGCGAATGCCGGCGACGACCGGTAGCCAGCTGCCTTTCCCTTCTGGGCTATTGTCTTAAAATACACACAAACACAAGTCCTCAGGCGGTCCGTGGCCTCTCCGTGGGGCCGGAGCTCGCTGCCCGCGGCCGGCCCGGGGGCCATACACCTGGGGACAGTAGCCCCTCTGAGTCGCAGCTCGCCGCAGAGAAGCACCCACTGCCCGCGGCCGGCCCAGCCCAAGGCCCAGGCCCGCCCCAGGCGGAGCTGGGGGCGGCGAGGCAGGCGGGCGCTCCTCAGGCCGCGCGGGTGAGCCGCTGGAGCCGGCGCTGGGCATTTCCTCTTCCTCCCTACGCGCGGCGAGGGGCGGCGCGGCGGCGGCTAGGCGGAGGCTGGGCTCGGGCGCCTGATCGCGGCCTGCTGGCAAGCGCGGGCAAGCGCCGCGACCCGAGCCGCCGCCGCCGCGCCGCCCCCGCTGGCCGCGGGGCCTCGGGGCGGCTGGGCCCGGCGCGGGCAGCGAGAGGCGGGGCTGGCGTGCGGGCGGCGGAAGGAGGCGGAGGAGGAGGAAGAGGAGGAGGAGGCGGCGGCCGGGAGCCGGGGGAGAGGGGCGGGGGGTGGGCTGGGGGAGGGGAGGAGCGGGATTTGCGGAGCGCCGCGCCGCTGCCGGGAGCCGGCGGGCCCGAGAGTGACCGGAGTCACGGCGGGCGCCGGCGGAGCCGCGGCGTCGGACCCGCCTCCTGGAGGAGCTCAGCCCCGACCAGGCCCGGCCCCATTCCCGCCCCGCGCCGCCTCCCCGCCGCCGCCGCCGCCGCCGCGGGAGCGCTCCCCTGCCCACCCCGCCCCCGCGGCCGAGCCCAGGAGTCGAGTGGGAGTCGGCCGGCCGGCGCGGGCAGCGCCGGGACCCCGCGGGGGACACTGCAGCCGGAGCCCGGGAGGGGCCGCGCCGCCACCGTCTGAACTAGGATGTCCCGACATGAAGGTGAGAGGAGCCCCCGCCCCCACCCGCACCGCCCGGGCCTCGGCCTACCCCGCCCGGGCCGGGCGCGGCGGAGGGCGGCCAGGAAGCGGCGGAGACTTTGGCCGAGCCTGAGCCGGGCCCGAGGCGCTGGACCCGGGAGCGAGCGAGCGAGGGCGGAGAGCCGCGGCGCTGCTACCGCCACGGCCGCGGCCCTTAGCTGGGCCTTGTGCTGGAGGCGGGGCGGCCGGGGCGGCCGGAGGGTTTGCACTGTCATGGGGCGAGGGGGGGAGGGGAGGCGGTGGGGCCCGTTACCGGCGGGAGCTCGGCCCTCGGGACTGATACTGGACGCCGAGGCCCGCCCGGCCGGTCCGGGAGCCACGGGCCCCAGCGCGGCCTAGCGCTCCCACCGCCCCGGAAGAGCCCGGTGTGGTCGCAGAGCCGGGCCGCGGGCGGCAGCAGGAGGCGAAAGAGCCGGCCCGGGACCCGGCAGGCGCGTCCGGTCGCCGGGAGACGACGGCGAGTGTCCCCGCCTGCGGGCGACCGCGGGGCTGGCGGGAAGGCTCTGCGGCCAGGGGACAGGAAACCCTCGCCGCCTGGAGCCCGCCCCGGCCTCGCGGCTAGGCCTCAGCGCGTCCCTGGGCTCGGGTAACAAGTTCCCGGGGTGGATCCGACCCCGTCGCGGCAAGCAAACTCCCTGCTCAGTCACCCAGGCGGATCAGGACTCGCTCCCCGCCAGCCCCGGGGCCCTCGTCGGCATGTGCTGCCTACCAGACTAGGTTTTGGAAAATGACGATGGTGAGGTCTGTTCATGGTCGGGGGTCGTTTTGGACCTTGTTGTAAGATTTAAAAACGTGGTTGGAGTACAGTTGCAAATAAGCAGACAGCTCTAAGCCCAGTCCCAGGGCACAAAGAGACAAATGTTTAGGGTCGATGTTTAGGCTTTGAGCTGGTAAGAAATAAGTTAACTTTAATTTACTGCCATATGGTTTAGAAAAGGAGGAGGGGGTTGTGTTTTCTTTGTTTCACTACTACAGGTTTTTGGATAAAAAGTGTTAAAAGAGATTTGGCGAAAAGTTTATCCTGCTAAGGTTAATACAAGATTGTAGAAGTGGCTTAAAAGTTTGTGTATTCATGATTTTAAAATCCTGTATAGGTGATGTAGGAGTGGAGAAAGTTTAGTGAGTCAGTTTAGTGTGTGCTTCGCACTATGGGAAGGATATTCTTTGGGAAATACAGACCTTAGAATTTCAAGGCTGAAAAACTCAGATTGATTAAAATTGTATTTAGAACAAGTTTCAAAATTCACGTTACTAATTGCAACGTTGAGATTGACTCAAAGAATATTCTGTGTTCAGTGGTTCTGTTCTGTATTTCAAAAGTTACAAAACTAATAGGAAATATACTATATTTTCTTCACAAAGCATTTATTGAGTACTTGCTATGTTTAAGTGTTGGACGTTTTGAAATAATCAAGTACCTAGCCTCATTGAAAGGAGCAGAGAAGTAGGAAGCTATGCCTATTTTCCCACTATTTCTGTTTAATAGAAATGCATCCTTATCTCTGTAATTTTAAAAAGTCGTAATTAAAGTTATAATCAAATTTTAATTTGGGATATTAAAGTTTATCTTAAACTGTAGTCCTATGTACATTGACCACCTTCAAGACAAAACAAAAGTTAGCAATGGCTGCAGGCTCTCTTACTTTTAAAAACTGGGAGAGTTAAAATTACAGAATCACTGCCATGGAAGAAGAGTGTTTCAGATCCATTCTCCTTGCTCTAAGAAAGCATCCAGATAGTTCCAGACGGAGCATTCTAATTGAACGGTGTCCTGGGAAGAAAATTCCTTCACCCTCAGTGCTCTGTTAGAGTAATTAAAATATCATAGTTGGAACATTCTTGAATGTAACCTACATTCTGTAATTTAAGTCCATTTCTCCATATTTGGTCCTGTGCAAAGGTGTGTGGCTATGAAACTTAATTACCTTTTAGTTACTTGAATATTACTGAACCTCTGCACACTAGTAGCGCACCTTTCCTAGGAGCTTACATTAATGTCAGCAAATAGAACATGCCTAATGAAAAGGGAACGTACCTAAATAATCTGTTGAAGACTTAGAGTACAATATTTGGCCATGATTATCTTTCAAGGGTCTAGTTTATGGCCTAAGACAGGAATAACAGTCTCATGAGTTACATTTAATTCATTAGATACCTATTTTGTGGAATATTAGTTCAGACTGCCATTATTGTCATCAGTAAGACTTTGACCTATTAGCAAATACAGGGTTTGGCACCCTTGCTACTATCAGTTATTTTCTTACCTTTCTCCCTTTTGGGCCAACGAATCCCATTTCTTTCAGCATTTCTTTTCTTTTTCTTTTTTTTTTTTGAGATGGAGCCTTGCTGTGTTACCCAGGTTGGAATGGAATGGCGCTATCTCTGGTCACTGAAACTTCTGCCCCCCAGGTTCAAGTGATTCTCCTGCCTCAGCCTCCGGAGTAGGTGGGATTACAGGTGCCCAACACTACGCCCAGCTAATTTTTATATTTTTAGCAGAAAGAGAGTTTCACCATTTTGGTCAGGCTGGTCTCGAACTCCTGACCTCAGGTGATCCACCCGCCTCAGCTCCCAAAGTGCTGGGATTATAGGCTTGAGCCACCACACCTGGCCTCAGCATTTATTTAGTGGTATAATTTTTGTGCTCTCAGTCATCTGTCCACCTCTAAATTCTCTGTAGTCCTTGTTTCCTTTCAGTAGTGTGACCATGAAGTGGATGTAATAGTCAGGTAAAAGGTTTGAACATGCCTAACATGTACTTGCATGGTGCTTCCTGTTCAGAGCCTTGTGTGTGCAAGTTATATGTTACTTTGTCTTTGTAACCACCCTAATGAATTACACTAAATTCTATTATTTCATTAATATAACTTTGGACGACACAGTCCCAAGATGGACACTTGACAAGCTTGAAGGCTCAACCCTGTGAAGCAGTGGGCTGCTTCTCAGAAAGACAGTGCAACCAGGAGTGTAGAGAAATGCTCTAGTCCAGGGGTCAGCATGCTGCTTCTCTAGGGGGCCAGGTGGCAAACGTTGCAGGCTTAGTGAGCTGAAATAGCCCTAAAGCAGCTATAGACAACATGTAATTGAATGAGCATGGCTGTGTTCCAATTAAAACTTTATTTATGGACACTGACATTTGAATTTCATATAATTTTCATGTGTCATGAAATATGATTTGTCATTTGACACCCCCCACCCCCACTATTCAAAAATACAAATAATCATTCTTAACTTTTGGGCTGTATAAAAAGTAGTGGTTGGATTTGGCCTGAGGGCTGTGGTTTGCCTTACCTCTTCCCTAGACTGACGCTTTAGAGCACTGATGGAGCTTGAACTGTCAGAAGTCTAGAAAGGGCCCAGTCGGCTTGCTATTCCATCATTTTCTTTGGGTGACGGGAAGTGAGTTCACAGACTGAACCATCTCTTCTGTACCTCAGTTTTCAGCAGCACCATGTGAATTGGAATGGAAGTAATTGTTCCTCAGGAGTGGCAACAGGCTCCCCACCTTCCAGACCCTTAGTGGAGATGGCAGTACTCTACATTTTTTCTGTTTGCCTGTTAATACTTTTCTGGTAAGAATTCCAGGGCCACTTTAACTCACTTTGTGGTGTTCTTCTCATGGTAACATTTTATAGAGATTAGCGCCCAGTCACTTTATGTTCACCCTACCAATGCTGTCTAGTTCCACAGTGAGCCCAATCATTTTTTACGTTAATGTGTGTTTTTTTTTTTTTTGGAGGCGGAGTTTCGCTCTTGTTACCCAGGCTGGAGTGCAATGGTGCGATCTCGGCTTACCGCAACCTCTGCCTCCTGGGTTTAAACAATTCTCCTGCCTCAGCCTCCCAAGTAGCTGGGACTACAGGCATGCGCCACCATGCCCAGCTAATTTTTGTATTTTTAGTAGATACCGGGTTTTGCCATGTTGACCAGGATGTTCTCCATCTCTTGACCTCGTGATCCACCCGCCTCAGCCTCTCAAAGTGTAGGGATTATAGGCGTGATCCACCGCGCCCGGCCATGTTGATGTATTTTTTTAATGTCTCACTACCATACTTTCAAATACATTTAAAATGTAAATATGTTATTCAGAGCTTAAAATCTACTTTTAAAACTTTCCAAATAAAAAAAGCAACTTATCAAATTACTCAGTGCTTATTAGCTAAAATGAAACTATGACTGTTCTTACTAGAGTCTCATTGATTACCTGGATCTAGGTACACGTGTCGCCTTAAATCATTCAGTCTTTCAGTCACTGCTATGTGTAAGGCAGTTTGCTAGGTTCCAAAGAATGTGAGGATAAGTGAATGACATGCAGCTATTTACCTTAAGTCTGGCGAGGAATATGCATCTTTTAGCTAGCTTCCATAGTGTAGTGTGAAACATGCCGTAAGGAAGGGGGTAAACGTTGATGACAAAGTAATTGCCAACTTTTTTCTTACTAATTTTGTCAAATTTCAGAGAGGGACTCTACTGTGATTCTAGCACTTTTCTCTTGGGTGCCTTCTTGACTCTTTCTGAGCCACTTTTGATTTTGGATAAAATTGTTGGAAATTTCAAGCTGGTTGCAGTGGTAGTCCCAGCTACTTGGGAGGCTGACAGACCCTATCTCTTAAAAAAAAAAATTGTTTGAGA